AATTTTTAGAAATATTGAGGGCCCCCACCAAATGTCGGCCCCAGGGCCTCAAAACTCTTAATCCGGCCCTGGATATAGACCATATTTGGTGTTAAAATGGTCATGAAATTTTGAACAGTTTATTGAAGTGATCATTGCAGTGCGGTGGTTGTTGATCTGTTTTGACGATACCCATATTGGTTTTCGTTAAGAATATTTTTAATCAACCTGTTTTTTATGACGCTTTCAAAAATTTTGAAGGATTGATATAGGCCTGTAATTGCTTGGATCCGACTTTTCGCCTTTTTTAAAAATGGGAATAATTTTAATTCTTTTGGAAATGTTCCCTCTATAAGACATTTATTAATTATATATGTAAATGGAGAAATTATATTTAATTTTATCGATTTAAGTAAGTTGGTCGACATACCATATATGTATATCTTTAGGTTCTTTGCTTTTTATTGTAGTTATTATTTTTCCTATCTCTTCTTTGGTAACTGGCTGAAAGAAACAAGAAAACACAGCTCTTTCCTTATTTTTTTTTGTAAAAAATGCTAAGCTCATCATCATTTAAAAAAGTTGCGTTTAGTTTTTCTCCAACTTCTGAGAAAAATTTGTTTATAGTTTCGCCATCAATTTTATTCTGGATATATATAGGTGCACCATGGTTTTTGTTTTCTTGTCTCTTGGTTCATGACCTTCCAGATTGCTTTGGTTTTATTTTGTGAGTTAGTTATTGTTTGTTCGTTATGTTCTTTCCTTTTTTTTTGTTAAAGTTCGTTGTAAATTACTTTCATTTTTTATAGGCCTCAAAGGACTCTTTATCTTTTACCTTAAAAATGGTGTCTAGAGCATCCAGGCTATTTTTAAGGTATTTTAATTCTTGGGTGATAGGTATGTTTATGTGGTTTATTTAATTTAAAACTAGTTTCTTCTTCAGGACAGCACTTATTATATAAAACCAATATTTCATCAAAAAAACGTGTAAAACAGTCTGCTGCTGATTTTTCATTTGATATGTAGTTCCAGTCAAGGGTAGCTAGGGATTTTTTTAATAAGTCAATATTTTGAGAGTATAAACGCCTTATGGTTTTTTTAATTGATGTACATTTTAAATTATGGTTTCCATCTAAAAATTTTATAATTTGTGCATAACACGAACAACCAGGAAAAAATTTCCTGGTGAAGTCATGATGATATCACAACTTGATTTTTTTTACCACGCTGTGATATCCTGAGTGCATACACATGCTTCATCACAGTGATATCATGTAGAACTCACGGTGTCATATTTGCAAAATTTACGCATGCGTATGAGCCCTGCGAACTGCGAATTTAAAACCTATAGTATGTTATTCACATTACACCGCGGTGCACCGTTATAATTTATAAAACGTTTTTTGAATATCACGAATGTATTCCTGGTTCAATTTAAAAAGCTATTCCAATGTTTAACAAAACGTGAACGTTTTGTTAAACATTGTATTGTAATAATTAATTAACTATAGTTTGGCAAAATTAGGTATCGTGGTTGTATGTTTAAATCCTTAAAAATTATTATTTTTTTATTTAAAAACAGTACTGAAGTCTTTTTGAGTAAAAAAAATAATTTTTAAGGAATTAAACAGTCAACCACGATACCTAATTTTGCCAAATAAAAACCTTGTTAAACAGCTTTTGTTTAGAACTATTTATAAAAATTTGACATTAGTAATATAATAGAACAATGTTATTTTGTAAATAAAAACTTGCAACTGTCCCATCCGTTGCGCGTGAAATAGCCGTATACTTTTTCTCTCAATGTACGAATGTGGCGCAAAATAAATATCCAAACACGGATGTCATAAAAAATCACGACATGATTTTTATGCCATCGGTGCACCGACATGTTTGGATATTTATTTTTACGCCACATTCGTACATTGTGAGAAAATGTATGTTAATAATTGTTAACATACATTTTCTCACAATTAAATTAAATTATTGAATTAACAGCTTTTGCGGTTAAATACATTTAATATTTTCTTGGATGTAAATTAACTATTAATTTAAATCCAAAAAAATATTGAATGTATTTAACCACAAAAACTGTTGATTTAATATATATGTAGGTATAATTTTTCTCTCAATGTATGAATGTGGCGCAAAAATAAATATCTAAACACAGATGGCATAAAAAATCACGAAATGATTTTTTATGCCATCGGTGTTTGGTCATAAAAAATCACGACATGATTTAAACAACTGAACTTAATTTAATTTTACAACCAAAAACAGATCTATAGTTTATAAATGAATAATAAACAATTTTGCTATATACTTAACATAATGAATTATCTTAAATAAGAGTAGAATTGAAGTAAGAAACACATCTTAATAAGTTACTTTTGTAATTTTTTGACTTATTACTTGAATTGAAATTTTTTGAAAAAACTTTGGAAGCGTGATGAACCTGTTCAGAGGCTTGCTCTGAATAAAAGCCGAGAGATCTTTGAGTAGCTCCAATGTGCTCTGGTACATGGTGTACCAATGCATGTATTTTTGGGGTGAAATATACCTGCCGTATGTAAAGCTTTCTCAAAATCTCTTATTTGTTCCTGATATTCGGATCTGAGTATCTGCCCGAAACAGCTAAAATTAAAAATGGAAATACAAACATGAAGTTGTAGATCAGGCGCATATGTAGGTAGATAAGTAGGCCTATAGGTATCAGAATATTTATTATTTCATGCATACTTGGCGAAACTATTTCTAAAATATCAACTTTTTTCAAAAGGTTCTATGGATGCTTGTCGTGCCCATTCTGAAGCAACCTCAGGAAACTCATATTTTAAGGAATATTAACACAGTTTTCTAAAAAGTATTCACATAGTTGTAGCTAGTAATAAAATTTAATAGGGAAATTGACAGAAAAATAAATAATAAGAAACTAACTGTAAAATTTAGCTTTCATTTTCATTTTCCAATTAGCTTTCCTGACTGCTTGGTTATAGAGCTTATTGTTCTTGAAAGTCCTTTCTCTTTTAAATCTTTTGCATTTATTTCACACCAGGGGCAAGGATGAGCTGAGGAGTTTGACTGGAGTCCCAAAAGTCCAGCAATATTTTGACATTCTCATAAGATTCTGCAAATTGGGGACCTAGACCAATGATTAGTAGCTTCTTAATGCCTGCGCTTTTGTATTTTACCAGATATTCTGGATCATTTTCTGGCATCACAGTCAAACAAACTTTCAATGATCCGATCCCAATTTTTACATGGAAGTCGTCATTTAAATTTCGTATATTTAAAATATGTGCTAAGAGACCAGAAATATCCGAGCAGTACACCAAAAACGGAATATCGGCAGTTTTGGGACAGTCAATGTTCGGCAACTCAGCTATAGTAAAATAGCTATCCAATGCATGGCTTGCAGTTTTTATGTTACTTATTATGCTGGGTTCTACTAAGTTTTTATTTACATTGCGAAGGCACTTACTAATTTTTATTACTGTATTAGTGGATAAATTGCAGTCAACATTTCTTTAAAATGATTTGTAGTCAAAGGAGTTATCGAGTTTTTGGAATCACTTCTACAGGCAAATACCTACCCCTGTCTTTATTTAGCAAAAGATAATTACCCTGATTTTCCTTTTCCTCTAATAAAATCTGGCTTGCAACTTGTTGTCTACAGTTTTGTGCGATGGAAATAATGTTTTGCACTTTGGAAGTTAAAGTACATGCGTGACGTTTTCCCTTATGGATTTCACTATTACAGAATTCTGTAATAGTGAAATCCATAAGGGAAAACGTCACGCATCTTAAGATGCATATTTTTAGTGTAAGATGCATATTTTTAGTGTACTTGCCTGCATTGAGCTGGTTTTTGGAGGTCTACCCACAATATTCTTTTTGATTGCATAATCAAATGAAAAATTATTGACATTGGCCCAATGTCATTGGGTATAGTTCTGAAACGTGCAACTTTACATATTTTACACGCACACGTGTCGGAAGAATTTTCATTTTTGAGTAATCTGTAATTTTTGTTAGAGTCTTATTGTATATTTTGATGTAACAGCCTTTACAGAGGACTGTTGAAATGCTTGTGTCGTTTTGATCAAAATTGGGTGAAAGTAATTTTACCAGATTTTCGATTTTCCCAATTATACGTCCTAACCTAACTGCCTTGTTGAAACATCCGTAACATACCGTTGATCGAGCTAATTCGTGACTTTTTATACAATTCGGCATTTTAAACAAATCTTAACTTAGTAGGAACGTGCACTGACAGGACGACGTAACGCGACGTTTCAGACACAGCCAATCTGATTTTTTTATCTTTATGCGTAAGATTGTACGGATAATAAAACAAATTTAATTATAAATATTCAATTATATCTAAAAATCTAAGAAATATTTTTTTACTAAAATAAACAATTTTTTTCCATTATATTCTTGATAATATACTACGACAACCTAGAATATAATCACCGCACAGTGGTATTTTATATTACCAACAGAAAAAACGTTTTTAATGAATTTCTCGTCAGGACGTACGTATACGTATCTATAGATGATTTTAGTTTTGATAGATATTGGTAGCCCATAACATAAGCTTTCAATACAGGTATGACTCAAAAAATGTATATTTTGTGTTTTAAACTAGAGGCATATACTAACTGTGACCTCACTTTCTTCCAATTAAATTATTTTTCTATGGTATTTTTTGGAAACGTAGAAAAAGTATAGTCTGAAACACGTTTGGAATTGCTTATTCCGCTCTCGTAAAACCGTCAAACTCGCATTCGGCTCGTGTGACAAACTCTTCACTCGAGCGGAATATGCTGTATTCCAAACTTGTAACAGAATATACTATGTTTTATTTTAGTAAGTAGTATTACAATAACAATACGTGAATTTTTGGGTAAATAAAACTATTTATTATAAACAAACATTTTATTTATTTATTTTAACAATTATTATCATTTATTTATTTTAACAAAACAAGCATGCTTGCACTTAAACTACATGCAAATTTAATAAGAAAACATTTTTAAAATTAAATTCCATGCAAATATTATAAAAGCACCCAGTATAACTTTTCTAACTATGGCATCAATCCAGTATAATCTAAAATAAAAATTTAATTTAAGAAAATTATTGTATTCTTTAAAAGAATCTTTTTTTAACTTTTTTATATTTTTTTAATTTGTGCATCCGTGATATATATATATAAAGTATACTTTAATATATTTCGGAGGTGATTCTATACGTAAAAATAAAAAAAGTTGCTATAAACAGGTGTCTGAAAATGCTTCCTGGGGACGCTATAGGCATTTTAAACGGTTTCGCCAAATCAGGTTTTTTATTAATAATTATTTCGGTTTTTTCATATTTCTTCTAATGTTTTCGAAAAATCCTTATTTCTTATAGATTTACAAGCATTTACAACCCGCTACATTAATTCAATAAAGGCATGCGGATTTTCATCAGCCCATGGGCTGATGAAAATCCGCGGATCGATCACTGAGAGAAAAGAATATTTTTAACAAACGTTGCAATTGTTTGAGCCTGATAGCTTTGAATCAAACAACTGAAATTTAATTCAAAATTAGTGCTTTTCCTTAGAATGGGTGAACTGCTTTGCCAGAAATGGTTGATTCGTTTAGGGTGCTGTGTTTGCTTGGAATATTATTAAGTTCTATGCAAACTTTGTACTGATAGTCATTTAGATTGGGTTTTTTATGTTTGAATAAAATTTATGTAGGTTTCCATAAAACGTGCAATATTTTCCACTAAAATTTATTTATGGGTTAACTGAAATAGATAAAACTTATTATAAATCTGCTACCATTTTTGCGAAAAGCTCAGCATTTGCAACAAATATAATAAGTTTGTAGCAAACATATCGAAGTTAATGGGTAATTGTGCTTAGTTTGGAAAGTGCAACTTTTGGAGTGGGGGAACGCCTCTTGAAACGCGTCTTCTCGTGCACGTACAGTGTCTTATAAAGTTTTAAATTTGCCTCCACTTATACATACGGTTCTTACAAAATAATTTTGCTTCCATGCAAACATTTGGATGAAACGGCATAACGTTTAAGAATATTGTATAAATCGTCGGCCTTATCACGAAGTGGCCTAACCCACAAAATTGAAAACAGTGACATTTTGTGAGAGTTAACCACAGACCACCAAAACAAATGGACGGCGCATTGCCATTCAATAAAAATACTTTGTTTTGCGGTCAACAAACGGTCACATTCTACGCGTCAAATTGGAGATAGAATTTTATGTTTTCTTCCAGTGACGTCAACAAACGGTCACAGTCTAAGCGTTAAATTGGCGATAGAATTGTATGTTTTCTTCCAGTGACGTATTGGGATTAAAAAAATAATAAGTAGGTAGGTACTTACAAACGATATTTCCATGTAGGTATTGTTATTTTTAGTAAAAAATAATGTATTTAAACTCACGATAGAAATACACAAACGAAAACACAAAACAACAAGCTGTCAACCCACAGAACATAACCTTTTTCTATGCTGTCAAATATGACGAATTTACCAACGTTGTTAATATTTAATTTTAATAATTATTAAATAATTTACTTTCTTTAAATAGAGAAAAATATCTAAAGAAAATGATGAACAAATCATTTTTACAATTTTTTTATTATTCAAACGAATTACTGGTAATTATTAATGTTCATTATGTTATGATGAACGTCCAAAAAGGCGTGTAATCTATACTTCTGACAACGTTGGAAGCCGTGTTTCTTTCGACGGTGTTTAGAATGTGAAACTATGCTTTACTCGCTTTTTAAACGTAAACAAATCCGTCCATTTGTTTTGGTGGTTCGTGGAGTTAACTTACGTTGGTCTATTCTATTACTCCACGAGGTGGCCTATAGTACAAAGTCTGTACTATAAAAATACATTTCTTGATAATAGAATAAACCATTGTTAAGTTAATCTGCGAAAAATCTCATTTTGTTTTTCAATTTTGTGGGTTAGGCTACTTCGTGATAAGGCCGACGATTTATACAATATTCTTAAACATAATGCTGTTTCTTCCAAAGAAACCGTAATTACTTCAGAAATGCACGTACGTTTAATGACAATGAACTTAATTGGTAACAAGCAGATTTCAATTTTTCCTAAAATTAGTAAGTTTAAGGCAAACCTACATCGATTCATACAAAATCGACTATACTGGTAGCAAGCAATTACCAATTTATCAGAAAAGTATTCAACAAAGAATTCAAACAGCAAATTTGACAAAAATCTAGATGCGTTTCGTTCAAAAGCAGTTTTCCGGAATCGCCAAAGTGATGATTTTTTACCATTTAATTAAACCTTGGTATATTCCGCCGTATTTAAATATGTCATAGGTTTGAAACAAACTTTATGCCTTTCTCTGAAATATAACCTTCTCTCAGCATGCATGCATGACTATAAGTCCCAGGGGCGTACCGAGGCACACTTTTTTGGGGGGGTGGAGACGATAAAAAAAACCAACTTATTTTTTTATCGAAACTTTAGTAGTAATAGTAAAAATTTTCAGTAGTTTTATCATGAATGTAAAGTGTTGTAAAGTGTAGATAAAGAATGTCTTTACCTACCATTACCATGCTCTTTTGAAGTCTCTATTTTTTTATTTGCTACCAATGTAAGTGGATTATCCAGAACAGTAACAATTTTAATTTTAACCAAATTTCCACCGTGAATATTTTCCTCGTGCATTTTTTTCTAGTCCTTGTTAAACACAGATCCACATAATGAGCATTTTACTAGAATTTGGCCCGGTCTAGCTTTCTTTTCCATATTAAAAAAAAATTAATTCCTATTTATTGACACTAGTTTTACTTAGCTTAGATAAGCTTCAACTAATTAATAATTTAGAAAGACAAAGCCGCGAGGCGGTGCCGACTTTGTACATGCCGCTTGTGTGAAATATAATGTCCTTTAATAAAAATAAGGTTGACCAATACAATTTTCTTGACGGTAACGATTATAGGAGGTTACAATAGATTAAAAATTATAATTTTGTTATATGTAGGTAAAGTTTAAAAATTATATTTCATTTTATTTATTGTGATGGGTTGGTTGGTAGGGTAGGTATACCATGCTTAAAATACCCCATAGAGACCCTGTTCAAACCGATAGATATTTGTATCGGGATGTATGGTGTTTCTATAGGGTGTATCGGTTTGTATAGGACCCATAGTTGAGATTTATGGTTGTTCTATAGGGATATCCACCCTTGATTTATTTGCTATCGGTTTCAATGGGGAAAAAACACATAAATGTAGAAATTAGTTTTTCCCCTATAGGACACCATAGGTTTTAATAAAATTTTGTCAAATGTTTTACGGTTGCTCTATAGGGATATCCCTATATATCCTTCATTGAGTTATTTGCTATCGGTCTCAATAGGAAAAATGTAAAAGTTATGGTGTGCCTATAGGTAATTTCCTATACATTTTCTATCCGGAAAAAACCATGGACAAATGCACATATTGAATCCGGTAGCGCCCGATAGATTATTTTGTATAGGTTTCTATGGGGTATTTTAAGCAGGGTACCCAACCAACCGACCCAAATACTATAGATTTTGCCAACCGTGTTTGGATTTGGAACCAACTGACAAGACTTTGGGGGGGGGTGATCCCCCCCTACTCCCCCCTTAGGCCCGGCCCTGATTAGTCCTGCTTAAAATACCCCCTTGTCAAACCGATAGATATTTGTATCGGAATGTATGGTGCTTCTATAAGGTGTATCGGTATGTATAGGACCCATAGTTGGGATTTATATTTGTTTTATAGGGATATCCACCCTTGATTTATTTGCTATTGGTTTTAAGGGGGAAAATACACATAAATGTAGAAATTAGTTTTTCCCCATAGTATCCCATAGGTTTTAATAAAATTTTGTCAAATGTTTTATGTAATTAATTGTTTTTAAACAGTGTAGTTTATATTAAAATAAAACAAAATGTTTTATGGTTGCTCTATTGGGATATCCCCATATATCCTTCATTGAGTTATTTGCTATCGGTCTCAATAGGGAAAATGTAAAAGTTATGGTGTGCCTATGGGTAATTTCCTAAACAAATGCACATATTGAATCCGGTAGCGTCCGATAGATTATTTTGTATAGGTCTCTAAGGGGTATTTTAAATCCATCCCCATTGAATCCGTAAATTGTATAATTTGGAACGTCCTCTTGCATAGCAATTCTTCTAGTGCTTAAGCAATTGTCCCAGGATTAGCGGCAACTACTTCCAGGACCGTTTCTTCGTTTTCCAGTGTTCGAGTTGTTCGATTTCTTCCGCAATCACCTTTGTTTACTTTAAAGGTCTTTGATGTAAACTGGTAAACGTCCGTTCACATGGGGGTCTGACAGAACATTGGCTACACAGTGAAGAAATGGATAATAATAACAATACTTTATTATTCATTAAAGTATTTGCTTAAGGTAGTTGTCGTGGTACAATATTGTCAAAAATTTTTAAATTATACACACCGTAAAAGTATACGAGCTTGTAGCTAAGTGATTCATAATTTTTTCGCAAGACTGTACCCTGGAGACGTTACCTTTACGTAATACTTTCAAATATTTTCAAAGGTTTTAATCCGGCAACGTCGCTTATGCTCAACCAATAGATATATTGGAGACTGAATCAGTGTTTGAATTTACTGCGGAAATAATATCTATACTCGCGTACATCGTTGCCAAGTTGTTCTTATCTGACACTAGTAATGTATACTTTTTACAAATTGTTGAACTTTAAACGGTTATTTATAAACAATTGGACGGTCAAAAATTTTTAATTATTTTTTTTTAAACTCAGCAAAAATACCTTAAAAGACTGTTAGTTTTTTGAAAGCTTCTGACAGTTAGTTTTTTTTATAACTAAGAAACTGGTACAGAACTACAGAAAGCGTATACAATCCATGTTAATTATCCAATTTTTAATTGAATTTATCTCGGGTTATAGACGGTCAATCGACTTCAAATTTTAAGGATAATTGTATTGATATGTCCTTAATATGTATACAAAAATTTAAAATTTTCTGATGGTATGCTTACAGCACGACAACTACCTTAAACATATCAAAATGTAAAA